CTATGCAAATTGCAGGGGGAAACCGTCCACACACACCCCACCTACACATACACAGAACAGACATTCTCCAGGCTCTTTACTAGGAAGTATAAATGATTCTCAGTGCTATTGTTGGGCGAAGATTATGTCATTGCCTGCTGACAAAAGCACGATGATCAGCCAGGAAGTGATATTTCCAAACCGCAAAATTTCCGGCAATTCGAAATGTGACAGAGGCTTAATGCGGCAGATGGCCTCAGGGCTGCAAGAGAAGCAGTGATTTAGAGCAAGCAGTGTGTGCGATTTAATGGTCAATCCACTCAGTGAAGGTTATCCATCAGTTTGGAGGGCCAGTAAACCTTGCCAGATCATCGCAGTCCTGGAGGCTGGAGTTATTTTCAGACAGTGGCTGGCTCTGATTTGCAAAATTTTTTTGGTGATAATTCTATTTTATCTTCTTTGCAAACCGCTTGGAGGGTTCCCTTCCCCCACAGGCAAATTTTATGAAATAAATAACTTAAAAGAACAGAAATCCTCCTTTTTCACCGCATCCCTAGCATCAATTAGCTGTGATTGCAGGGGGTTGGACTAGACCATGGGTAGGCAAACTAAGGCCCAGGGGCTGGATCTGGCCCAATCGCCTTCTGAATCTGGCCCACAGGTGGTCCGGGAATCAGCGTGTTTTTACATTAGTAGAATGTGTCCTTTTATTTAAAATGCATCTCTGGGTTATTTGTGGGGCGTAGGAATTTGTTCATTTCCCCCCCAAAAATATAGTCCGGCCCCCCAACAAGGTCTGAGGGACAGTGGACCAGCCCCCTGCTGAAAAAGTTTGCTGACCCCTGGGCTAGACCAGGGGTAGTCAACCTTTTTATACCTACCGCCCACTAATGCATCTTCCTTGATGGTAAAATTTCCTTACCGCAAACCAGTGCTCAATGGAAGGAGGATTCAGCTTGCGCCGTAGACGCCCCTACAGCCCACCTAGAATCCTGAAACGTCCACTAGTGGACAGTAGGGACCAGGTTGACAACCCCTGGACTAGACCCTCGGGGTTTCCTTCCAACTCTCCTATGATTCTAGGAGCAGAACTCAGATACCTTTTCCTCCCTATTGCTCCCAGGGGACAAGGCAGGGGCCTGGAAAGGTACCAGGGCTGTGAAACCAGAAGGGCTAGTCCAAGACATTTTGCTGCCTGAGGCCAACACGGTACCTGCACCCCCATGCCCATTCCATGCACCAAGAAGCCGATGGGATTTCAGGCTTGTCGAAGTGCCCAGACGGCCATGCACACCAGGCAGGAATCAGAAGAGCTGAAGGGGTGATGCTTTCATTACAGTGTGATGCTCTCACCAGACAGATGGCCGTTAGAGGTTCTCCAGCAAAACCCTGGATTAGCATCAGGGAGGCAGGGACAGACCTTGATTCAGGGAAAGGAAAAGCACAGGGATTTTTAAAAAATTGTTGCTTAAGCCCAAATGTTTCATTGATGACACAACTGGGAAATTTGTTGTGCTAAACCGTCAGGCACGTAATCCCAGCGTGTCTGTTGCCAGTGGTGAACTGAGTGCGTGCAAAGATGCACTCCAGCTGTCTTCCATCTGCATGCACATCCCAGTCTATTTTTCACGGATACACGGCTGTACGGACTCCCCCCTGACGCGCTGTTGCGTGCATGCACACACACACACACACATACCCCCCCTCCGTGAGAAATGAAGACCGAGTGGAGCAGAAGGAGTCTGCGAGACTCAGAAATACAACTATTTTAACATAGAAGCACTGCAAATAAGGAAGTCTGGAGCGAAAGTCTGGCAGGGTTGCTGAGTAGGCACATACAGATTAGCCTGAAACTTACCCATGCTAATATATATATAGAGAGAGAGAGCGCACGCAAGCATGCTGAATTGAGACAGGATTACATGTATTCTGATTTAATTAATTAATTTTATTGCATTTCTATCCCATCCATTTCTCCCAGGAGCTGCTCTTGGACCCTTTTCAGCTGAAGATCGGGGTAGAAATGCTTCAAACAATAACCAAACAAACAAACAAACAAACAAACAAACAAACAAACAAACGGTGGCATATGTGGTTCCCCCTCTCCTTATTTAACACCCACAACAACAACCCTGTGAGGTAGGCTAGTCTGAGAGGCAGCGACTGGCCCCCACCGAGCTTCGTGGCTGAGTGGGGATTCGAGCCCTAGTCTCTCAAGTCCTAGTCATAGAATCATAGAATCATAGAATCATAGAGTTGGAAGAGACCACAAGGGCCATCGAGTCCAACCCCCTGCCAAGCAGGAAACACCACCAGAGCACTCCTGACATATGGTTGTCAAGCCTCTGCTTAAAGACCTCCAGAGAAGGAGACTCCACCACACTCCTTGGCAGCAAATTCCACTGTCGAACAGCTCTTACTGTCAGGAAGTTCTTCCTAATGTTTAGGTGGAATCTTCTTTCTTGTAGTTTGGATCCATTGCTCCGTGTCCGCTTCTCTGGAGCAGCAGAAAACAACCTTTCTCCCTCCTCTATGTGACATCCTTTTATATATTTGAACATGGCTATCATATCACCCCTTAACCTCCTCTTCTCCAGGCTAAACATGCCCAGCTCCCTTAGCCGTTCCTCATAAGGCATCGTTTCCAGGCCTTTGAGTACAACACTCTAACCACTATGCCATACTGTTGGTGTAGTAGCAATACACTCCAGCATCTCAGCCCAGTGGAAGAGGCTTTGCTTGTGTGTTTGTGTGCTGTGCCCACAGGGACTGCAGACATGGAGGTAGTGCCGGGGGGGCTTTTACGGAGGAGGCAGTAATTGGGGGGGGGGGGCTATGGAGGAGGCGGCAGTGGCAGGTGTGTGTGTGTGTGTTGCATTTTCTGGTTTTTCTCAGGCAAGCAGTGAAACATCCTGGGTCAGCCCTGACTTCATCCCAAAGCATGGCGAGGGCACTCAGGAGAGATTGTGCCAATGCCCCCCCCCATTCCAGAGTGAGACAAGAGCCTTGAAAGGGTGTTCTGGTCACGTGGACCAGGAACTCCTGGGATCACTCAAGAACCTACCAGGCCCCATAAGTCTCCAGGGGCAGGTCATCTCAGTGGTTTCCCTACCCCTGGCAGAGCAGAGGAGCCATGCAGTCCAAACTTTACCAGGTCGTGACCCGTCCATGAAAACAACTGACCATGAACTCCCCCTCCAGTCAACATCATGCCACTAGTCCGCTCTGTGGCAAAGACCAGGTTGAGGTGATGTCTCTCTACAAGGGCCAGGTGGGTGATGTACGGAGACAGCCCAGGGTTGACCTGGAGACCAGGAAGTTCTGAGGCGGCCTGCTGGGATGGTTCACTTGTGGGAATGTGCAGGAGAGGATATATTGTTTGATTATATCCTTTCCAACTTGTGTTAACAAGTTCACAGTTTAGCAGAGTAACATTCCCCTTTTTAAACTTGCAGCGGATGCATTTGCTCAGGCTCGCTAAAGCCTCTATAATAACTGTTCTGGTATTTTCCCCTTATTCCCTCATAAAAGATAAGACATGACACAGTCTTCTATAAAAGTATAAAAAAGGTTTACTCACACATCATTCTGTTCACGATAAGATCCCAGAAGGCAGACTTAGCTTAGAAAAGTAACATATACCTGGATACTATCTCAGAAGAAGACAGTCCCTTTGTCCTCTCTTGGCTGGAGGCCAAGAGGGCATCTTTGGCTAAGCATATGTTGCTTCGTCGATGCATGTAGTCAAAAAAAGAGAGATGTCTGCCCTGCCCTGTGCTTTTGCCGTTACAGGCCACACTCACCTCTAGTCACATGCAGAGGAAGTCTGTCCCAGCCCAGAAGGAAACAGGAAGTTTACCTGCTGGCTGGACAAACATTCCTCCCCATGTGTAAACATGTTCACTCTAGGAATGTTGTACTTGACTGCTCTTGTGTTTCACATCCCACATTACTAACAACATCTCCATCCCCTTTAACCCAGACCCAGTGCAGGTTGGCGTCCTAGCAGGGGAGATGGATGGGTTTGGTTTTTTAACCTGCCTTTCACCATGAGACATTGCCCCTCTGACCTGCAATGGTGTTAAGACCCTACGACCCGAGAAGAGCTTGCTGGATCAGTCCAGCATCCTGTTCTCACAGTGGCCAACCCTCTGCCCTCCAGTGGTTTCCAGCAGCTACTGTTCAGAAGCATTGGTGCCTCCGTTTGCGGAGCCATTGTGGCTAGTAGTCATCAAGAATCATGGAGTCCTCCTCCATGAATTTTCCTGATCCTCTTTTAAAGCTGTCTAGCTTGGTGTCCATTGCTGCCTCCTGTGGCAGAGAGTTCCATAGGGTACCTGGGTAGGTTAACATTGGGCCACCCAGCTTACCCAACCAGGCCTTTGCTATACACGCCAGGCTGGGTCCCGGCACCTGAGAGCAAATTGTGTGAGGCAGATGTTTGATTGTGGGCAGATTTGGCACTTAGCACCACCACCTCCAGACCAGACGCTGTGCTAACAGGCAGCCTCAAATCCGGGCACATAGAAGGGGGGGGGCAAACAAGGACTCTAGCCCTCCTCTTGGGCTGCCTTGGCTCCAGGCCAGCCTCTCCCTCTTGGGGGGGGGGTCTGGCCAAAGGGACACCCCCACCCTCTTTCGGAAGGCCCTTCTCTTTCCGTCTGGCTCGTTCAGTTGGGTGTCAGAGGTACAATTTACAAACAACAGTTAGAAGCCAACCTTACATACCAGATAATTTATTAAGATGGGCCGTCAGGCAAAAAATAATTATTAAATTATTAATAAATACTTGCAATAAATATACAACAGAGAACGGCAGAGTCGAAAGGGACCCGAAGGGCCATTTAGTCCAGCCCCCTGCGGTCCTCATTATCCACTGCTTTCTTGGCAACTGCCAAGTCCTTCCAGAGAAAGGAGGCAAGTGTTGCGTTGTCTCAGTGATGGGACTTTCCTTGTCACAGAGTCTGGAGGCTGAAATTTGTCCAAAGGCGCATGTACAGGTTCTGTGCATCTTGTGCGTTTTATGTGACAATATAATCCACGATGGAGACCTCCCCAATCCGGTTTGTCACGCTGACAGCTTTGTTGACCTGGGCAGATGTGCAGATGTACCACTGAGGAAAGGCAGCTGACTCAAACCTGCTGTAGTCCCCAACTGCAACTCTGTAGAAGAGGAAGCGTCCTTTGTCGGATTTGTCGAGGTCTCCTTCGATGCTGGCCTCCTGCAGGTGGAAAAGGTGAGATTACATCTAAGGAAATCCACTTTCCAAAGCGCCTACGCTAGCTCCACAACAACACCAGGGTGGTTCACAACATAAAACCACAACAAAAAAACAGTAAAAACAAGAGCAACCCAAAAACCGCCCCCTCCTCAACACATTTTTAAAGGGCACTGGATGTCAATCGGCCAAAGCCCTAGTTAAAGAGGAATGTTTTTGCCTGGTGCCTAAAGGTGGATAATGAAGGTGCCTGGTGAACCTCCCTGGGGAGAGCATTCCACAAATCGGGAGCCACTGCAGAAAAGGCCCCGTTCTTGCATTGCTTCCTCCCGGACCTCTCAAGGAGGACGCACGTGAAGAAGGGCCTCGGAAGATGATCTCAGGGTCTGGGTGGGTTCGTATGGAGAGAGGCGGTCCTTTAGGTACTGCGGTCCTGAGCTATTTACTCTGACCATCGCAACAACGAAAGAAGAACCTGCTGGACCAGGCCAATGGTCCACCTAGTCCAGTATCCTGTTCTCACTGTGGGCAACCAGCTAGCAGGATCTAAGCACAAGAGCTCTCCCTCCTCTTGGGATTTCCAGTAACCAGAAGCATAAGCTGTGAAGGAGCCTCTCACCTCCAGCTGAAGTGCTGGCTGGTCTCCGCTCTGCACACAAGACAGGTACAGCTCCTTCCCTTTGATTTTCAGGGCGATGGGGATCTTCGCTACGCCTTCTTCTATTTTTGGTCGATAGACGTACATTTTCACCCTCGCTGCAAAATGTGAGGAGACAGGATTAATAGCAAGAAACGTTTCAGCCCAGCTAGGACTGGCCACCCGTAGGAGATGGCTGGTGAGGAACATCAAGGATGGGGGTTCCTACCTTCTTTGCTGATGTCCGCCTGTTGGAGCTCCAAGGCCACCAGCTGGGTTGTCCCGTTCAGGACAAGGGACTTCTGGTTGACGTCTCTGATGTTGCAGGAGATGCTCCTGCTGAGGTGGTAGATGGGATCTGTGGCATAGGTGCATTCGCAGGTGTCAAAGTCAACTGGTTCTGAAGAGGAAAAGACACTCTGGGTCAAGACCTGCCACTTGCAACGCAACAGTAAGAGCTGTCCTTTGGTGGAACGTATGATCTCAGAAGGTGGGGAGCTCTCTCCTTCATAGGAGGCTTTTAAACAAAAGTTGGATAGCAGGGTTCCTTTAGCAGTGACAGCCCACCTGCTGCTGCCCCCACCCTTACCAAGCCAGAGCTGTTCTTTCTTTTTGCCCCCACATCCAGCGGTTGAGCAAGCCAATTGGGCGCCTGGGGTGGTGTGCATGCCCTGCGCCCAGGAGTGGGGCCAGCTGCCTGTGGGGCTGGGCGAGCCAGGGCAGGATGCTCCATGGGGCCTCTGAGGAGTCTGCCTGCCTCCTCCCACTCAGCCGCCCTATAGCTGAGGGGGAGGCGGCAGGCGGACCATTTGGGGCAATGCAGAGCCTACGGGCACCCAAGCCACTGTGTCACTCCCAGGAGAGACGCGTGGCTTGGGCGCGCTGCAGGCCATGTGGTGAGTGCCACCCAGCATTTTGTCACCCCCCTCAGTGGTGACACCCGGGGCGGCCCGCCCCCCGCCCCTTCCTCCGCCCCTGCCCACATCTTAAAGGGATGCACACGGAAACGCCATTTACCTTCCCGCTGGAGCGGTACCTATTTATCTACTTGCACTTTGACGTGCTTTTGAACTGCTAGGTTGGCAGGAGCAGGGACTGAGCAATGGGAGCTCACCGCGTGGCAGGGATTCGAACTGCTGACCTTCTGATCGGCAAGCCCTAGGCTCTGTGGTTTAACCCACAGCGTCACCTGTGTCCCTTGCCCACATCTTATTCAGTGCTAACTCCCAGAAGTGTTTAGGCAAGCAGGAAGAGATCATGGCCTCTGTGTGTCCCTGATCCACCTCAAAGGAAACTGTTTAGGGAAGTTTTTAATGTCTGATGCTCTCTTGTTTTTAATATTCAGTTGGAAGCCACCTAGAGTGGCTGGGGAAACCCAGCCAGATGGGCGGGGTATAAATAATAAATAATTATTATTATTTTGAAGGGTCCTGCAGTCCAAAGGCTGTTGCTTTCCTCTAAAGCCAGAGGGATGGCGGAAAAGAACAGCGACACGACAGCAGCTTCCAGTTGGGTCTGCTTGGCCAACAAATGGAATAAAGTGCTTTGTCCTTCAACTACCTCCTGCTGCAGGAAGTGTCTCTACACTCCTTGCTGGGGATTCCCATCGGGATCACACCCAATATGGCAGCCAGCTGGTGTCCCATACTGTACCTAAGACGGAATTGATGATGTCCATCAGGTCGTCATCTGTGAAAAGTGCCCTGGCTTTGGAGGACTTCTTCTTCTTCATCCTCTCAATTGCCACCATAATGATCGCTGCCTTCTGGAAGCCCAGAGATGAAGGGCTGTTGGCGATCTTCACCTGAATGCCCACTTTGCAGGCAGGATGGTTCAGCCCTGGGAAGGCCTCCTGGGATGGGGGAGCAAAGCAGACCTCAGCTGAAGTCAAACCATCAGCAGCAAAGTCCCCTCCTGTCCACCTGGGGACAAGAAGTCTCATTCCGCAATTGTAAGGACTTGATTTTTTCCGTGTGGTGGCCCCTGAACTCTGGAACTCCCTGCTTATTGACATCAGGCAGTACTCTTTCCACTGCCTGAAATTTTATGATATTAAATAAATAAGGCAAAGTGCTGAGGGATGGGGCACCAGGCAACACTCATTGCTCTTCAGGGAGGAGTTGTCTAGCTATTTTGCAAGTCCACCACATGTGGTGAAATGTACCTTCTTTAACATTACACTTCCAGCATACATTGGTCGTGTTCTTATACATTTTCGCTAGTCTTGTAGGAGTCAAATACCATCTACACACCATCTTCATATAATTCTCTTTTAACATACAGCAAGCTGTAAATTTCAAGTCCTTATTCCATAACTTCTCCCATGAAGCAAATTGTATATTCTATCCCACATCTTTTGCCCAATGTTTCGTTACAGACTTCCTAATCTTTTGCTTCCCGTTCCAGCAACAATTTATACATTTTTGACAGAACTTTTCCATTATTATTTAACAGTTCTTTCTGCACTTTGTTCAGTCTAAAAAGGCGACTCCTTTGTTCAATCTAAAAAGGTCATTTAATTGATGATATTGGAGCCCATCAGTTAACAAATGTCTTATATCCTCATTTTAGTTTATTTTTTTACTTTCAGTTGATTTCCCTCCTCAATTAACAGTTCTCTATATGTTGGCCATTCTTTTCCCATATTTATTTTTTTCACTGACAACGCTTCTAATGGTGATAACCACCATGGGGTGTCTAGCTTCCTTGGAAGGCAAATGGCCTTCTTGCTTGGAGGTGGTTCTGCAGTTCCAGCCATCTGGCTGACTAAGCCCTTTTCAGGTGTTCATTTCTGCTCATGATCAGGAGGGGACAGAGTAGTTTTTTTGAACTGAAGCAGCCTGGAGAAATTCCTTACCTGGGCCAGAGAAGGCCGGTGCTCTTCGTAGAACTGCATCTCGTCCACACTGCAAGCAGAAAGCAAGAGAAGCAGGTCAGAGACTCCCAGGCATCATCATTGGAACTAGGCTGGATACGAGCATCATGCACGACACATTTCTTGGGGTATTTGCTGGCATTGTAAGGGGAGTCAAGGTGTTGGGCAAACAAACCCCAGGCGACACCTTCTGGAACTGCCTCTTTAGGAAAGGCAAAGGCCATTTCCGCACCAGATCTCGCCCACCCTGGTTGTCCAGAAGAATATCATGTCCAGCGGGATCAATAGAGATACACACACACACACACACACAGAATCCCCCTGTCCAGTTCCTATAGTAGATCTTCTACCAGGGACTCAGCTACATTAGTTTTTGTTTTTTTTAAGCGTTTTAAATGCGTTATAACACTGTGACACCAGATGGAGCTATAGAGTTTGATCCTTTGGCAGTATGATTTCCCATTATGAGCCTTACAACACATTTTCCTGAAATGTTTTTTTGGGTGTGTCTAGATCCAGCCAAAAACAACACTGGCTGCTTCTGTTCCATGTCCAGACCAAAAGCTGGATTAAAATGGGTCTAGCTCAGTGGTTCTCAAAGCGGGTGGTGGGATTACCTGGTGTGTGTGTGTGTGTGTGTGTGTGCGCACACTAAGAGTCAAGAGGGGCAGGGAGGCACCTGAGGTATAAATGACTATCTATCTTTGCAAGTTGGCATCACTGGATCGTTCACCAGTTTTGTCGAATTGATTAAACTGAATAGTTTGAATTGGATTCTGAACAAACGTGTAAATAATTTCTTACTGTCTTGAATGCTAATTGTGCTATTATCTTCCTTTCTGGGTCATGCAAACCACTATTATGAACAATGCTTTTTATAGGGGAGGAGCGCTGGGGGTGAGTTTATGTTGGGAACCACTGGGCTAGGGAATCCACACAACCAATCAATATCTGGACCTGAGAAGCAGGTAGCAGTCATAGTGGCGTGATTAATCTCTGCTGGAACCATTGGGGGCACCAATTGTTCCACCTGCCTTGGACCTATATAAGGAGGAGCTGCTGCTTAAGTGCTAATTCTTGCTAATTTCACAGGGAATAATCTGTTGCCTTTCTGGATGTTGTATTTGCTGTTTGGAATATTCAGATTTAGTCTGATTTTTATTGAATTATTGTGTTTGCACTGGCATGTTTGCATTTGCATTGTTTGTGAGCCGCCTTGGGGTGTCTTTTTTGGCCAAAGGGTGGCCTATAAGTAAATAATACCATAATGTGTGTGTGTGTGTGTGTGTGTGTGTGTGTGTGTGTGTCCCTGAGAACCCAGCCCAGCTTCACAGCCAGGGGCCATCAGTGGTGGTTACCTGCAGAAGTCCATCACCTCCTCTTCGCATTCAGGCACTCTAGACATGGGGGCTTTTGATCTAGGGAGAAGAAAGAAATGGACAGTAGTTAGCGAATGAGTCTCACGCTGGAGCACCTGCAAAGGAAGGAGAAGCAAAGCTGCTGTTTCGTAACCAGATGAACAAGATTGCGATTGAAACTATGGGCACACTGTGTGGACAGATTACAAGCAGCCCCAGGAAAGGTGTTCGTACGGCTGTTGTGGTCCCACAGAATACAAAGCAGGGCAGAAAACATGTGCAACTCAAGCAAATTACTTAAATAAAGGTGGAGTTTATGATCTTTGTTGTCTGAAAACAAGCAATTCCCTTAACCACTTAGAAACTCAAGAGAATTTCGATGTGATTTAAGTCAGAGCCTTTGCTGAGTACAGTTGCCTAGTCTCCTGACTCTTACTTAGCATCTTCCTCTAATTCCCACAAACTTTCGTCTCCAGCCTGCAGAGGGAAAGGGAGAATTTCGGGGAGTGAAGAGAACTCTTGAGCATGCAAGAAAAGGAAAGCAGGCAGGTCAAGTGCACAAGTGCCTTCAAATAACTTTAGTTTGCACGAGGAATTTCAGCTTGCAGACTTCCCAGAGTCTTCTGCGAGGAGCTGCAGAGCTTCTGCAGAGAAGGACAGACCCGGGAAGGGGCCATAACTTAGTGGTTAGAGCACTTGCCAGGCAAGCAGAAGGTCCCAGATTCACTTCCTGCTAGCATCTCCAGGTAGGGTTGGAAGAGACCCCTGCCTGAAATCTTGGAGGGCAGCTGCCAGGCAATGGCCCAGTTTCTTACATTCCTTTGGGCTGGAGCATCAAGGCAGACTGTCAGGTGGCCATGGGCATGTTGCTCTCTCTTCTCCAATAACACCCAACCAAGGACCATACAAATAATTTACCCTATCTCCGTGGGCCTGAGATACAGCAGTTTATAGGTATTGCAAGCCACAGTACTAGCTAAGTGATTGAAGGCAGCCTTGAATTCTGAAGGGTCAGGCAAAGCAGGGCTGACCATTTGGGGATGAATCAAGAACTCTAGAGTAGGAAGGGATCCAGTGCGTCATCGAGCCCAACCCCATGCAGGAATCACAGCTAAAGAAGGTTGAGGTCTCTTCATGAAACCTGCAAGTCTCCCCTTTGACCGCAGACTGTCTCGCCAGAGTGGTGCATGCTCTAGTTATCTCCCGCTTGGACTACTGCAGTGCGCTCTACCTGGGGCTACCTTTGAAGGTGACCCGGAAACTACAACTAATCCAGAATGCGGCAGCTAGACTGGTGACTAGGAGTGGCTGCCGAGACCACATAACATCGGTCTTGAAAGACCTACACTGGCTCCCAGTACGTTTCCGAGCACAATTCAAAGTGTTGTTGCTGACCTTTAAAGCCCTAAACGGCCTCAGCCCTGTATACCTGAAGGAGAGTCTCCACCCCCATTGTCCAGCCCGGACGCTGAGGTCCAGCACCGAGGGCCTTCTGACGGTTCCCTCGCTGCGAGAAGTGAGGTTACAGGGAACCAGGCAGAGGGCCTTCTCGGTAGTGGCACCTGCCCTGTGGAACGCCCTCCCATCAGATGTCAAGGCAATAAGCAACTATTTTACTTTTAAAAGACTACTACCCTGTTTAGGGAAGTTTTTAACGTTTGATGCTGTATTGTTTTTAATATTAGGTCGGAAGCAGCCCAGAGTGGCTGGGGAAACCCAGCCAGATGGGTGGGGTATAAATAATAAATTATTATTATTATTATTATTATTATTATTATTATTATTATCATCAGACCTATTCAGTCTTCTCAAGGCAGTTGTTGTGGGGTCTCTCTCCCCAAAGTCAGGGTTGGCAGGGTCCTCTCTGTCCTCCTTCTTCATGAGATGATCTGGCTCAGGCTGGGCCAGCTTCCCCCTCAAACCGGTTCCTTCTTCTCTGCTTCATAGGAATCTGCCTTTCAAAGAGAACTGGGTCTACCCAGCTCAGTATTACCTGACTGGCAGTGGCTCTGTGGAGTTTGAGGTAGGAGTCTCTTCCACACTTGCCAGAAGATGCCTGCTGGCAAGGCAAGATCCTCTACCACTTAATTACAGCTTCTTAGACCATCCCATTTTCACATGGAACCCTCAGCCAGATATCTGCCTGGGGGTCCGTTTAATCCTTGCAGAACCTCTTGGCTGACATTTAATGCAGCTAATCACAGACTCAGCCTTGCAAGCCAGACATATTCCTCAAGACGACCTCCCTGCAAAGCAATGCAGAAGTTTTACCTGTCCAAGGAAGTCACGCCGGTCTCTTTCCAGAAAGGAGGATTTCTAGCCTTCCAAGCTGCTCCTCTTGCTGTGAAATGGTCTCTGCTACAGCAGGGATGCCCCTCTTATCTGTTTCTCGGCAGCGGAAGAAGACGTGCTCATGCAAATGAACTTCCCTCTCGTACCTGGGCATTTCGAAAGCGGCGAAAACGAAGTCCTTTCCTTCCTGCTTCCATGAACAGGAAGCGGTTGTGTTGCAAAATGAGCACCGCAACACAAATTGTGAAAGCGCAGAATTTTGTGGGGATTTGCTGTGCTCAGCAGAGGCAAATAACAAGAATACCACAAGAAGTGACACCCTAGAGGCTTTCAGGAACTTTGCTTCTGCTGTGTGATGTAATCAGGCCGTTTTGGGATTTTTCCGGCGTCCCAGGGGGCTCACCTGGTGAGGAACCAATGGCTAGGTTGGGTGGTTAGGTCAAGTAGTATTCCTGCACCCCCAACTCTTTCATGTGGCTTCCCACCCAGTAATCTAAAGAATAAGAATAAGAATAATTTATTATTTATACCCCACCCATCTGGCTGGGCTTCCCCAGCCACTCTGGGTGGCTTCCAAAAAAATATTAAAATACTGCAATACATCAAACACTAAAAGCTTCCCTAAACAGGGCTGCCTTCAGATGTCTTCTAAAATGAAGGAGAGCATGGGGAGTTGTTGTTTAGTCGTTTAGTCATGTCCGACTCTTCGTGACCCCCTGGACCAGAGCACGCCAGCCACTCCTATCTTCCACTGCCTCCCGCAGTTTGGTCAAACTCATGCTGGTAGCTTCGAGAACACTGTCCAACCATCCCGTCCTCTGTCGGCCCCTTCTCCTTGTGCCCTCCATCTTTCCCAACATCAGGGAGTCTTCTCTTCTCATGAGGTGGCCAAAGTATTGGAGCCTCAGCTTCAGGATCTGTCCTTCCAGTGAGCACTCAGGGCTGATTTCCTTCAGAATGGATAGGTTTGATCTTCTTGCAGTCCATGGGACTCTCAAGAGTCTCCTCCAGCACCAGAATTCAAAAGCATCAATTCTTCGGCGATCAGCCTTCTTGATGGTCCAGCTCTCACTTCCATACATCACTACTGGGAAAACCATAGCTTTAACTATACAGACCTTTGTTGGCAAGGTGATGTCTCTGCTTTTTAAGATGCTGTTTAGGTTTGTCATTGCTTTTCTCCCAAGAAGCAGGCGTCTTTTAATTTCGTGGCTGCTGTCACCATCTGCAGTGATCATGGAGCCCAAGAAAGTAAAATCTCTCACTGCCTCCATTTCTTCCCCTTCTATTTGCCAGGAGGTGATGGGACCAGTGGCCATGATCTTTGCTTTTTTGATGTTGAGCTTCAAACCATGCACAGATCTACTCTGATATTTTCTTTTGTTGGCCACCTTCCTGATGCCCATAAATAGTCTCAAAAAATGCCTACTCAGAACTAACAATATGTAAGCTGAGGGGGCCTCAGAGGTGTCTCAGGTCTTATCCCTCCAGAATTCCTTGCTGTGAGCAAGAAGCACCCCACATTAAACCTCTATAATATAACAAACTGGTTTCGAAGTGGTTTAATTGTCAGTGAGCACTCAGGGCCGATTTCCTTCAGAATGGATAGGTTTGATCTTCTTGCAGTCCATGGGACTCTCAAGAGTCTCCTCCAGCACCATAATTCAAAAGCATGAGAGCATCCCACAAATGGGAAGGCGTCATTAGCTGGTGGGGAGGCCCACCCATTTGTTTGATGGCACAGAGCAGCTCCTTTGATTATGCTCATTGTGGTGCTTAACCAGTCAGCTAAAAACCATTGCCGTCCTAGACAAAGGGGCTGGCTTGGCAAGCTTGGTCTCATGCCTTCTACCCCCACAGATACAGGCTCCTGAGAATGGGAAGGGTCTCAGGGCATCACCCAGACTGAGCCCCCAGCCCACGGCCTTGTTAATGCACCACACCTAGGTTTGCTATGACCGGCGGCTCAGTGGACGGGCATGCGCTGCTTGCTGAAATGCCAGCCTGGTTCATGCATTCTCAAGGGCGACGTGTATCCAAATGAGACACAATGAACAACAGCGCTGTATGAACCGGATCTTCAAACTGAACTCTGGGTTTGCCAGCAGCCCTACTGCTGAAGCCCATCAGAGAGGGAGGAGGGGAAAGGAGAATGTTAGCCGCTTTGAGACTCCTTAGGATAGTGATAAAGTGGGATATCAAATCCAAACTCTTCTTCAGAGAGGTGCGCTCACTCAGCCGCAGTCTCGCCGTCCTTGCTTGGGGAGGGAGCGGGGAGGAGGACAGAGCGTGACTGGGAAAGGATTGGGCAGGGGAAGGAAACGTGGTTCGTGTGAAGGCGTGCAGAGGTGGTTGGGGCAGGGGGAGGAGGCAGGCTCTGTGCAAGGCGGTGGAGAAGCAGGGGAAGGAGGGAGGGAAGAAGAACAAGAAGAGTTTGGATTTGATATCCCACTTTATCACTACCCCAAGGAGTCTCAAAGCAACTAACAATCTCCTTTCCCTTCCTCCCCCACAACAAACACTCTGTGAGGTGAGTGGGGCTGAGAGACTTCAGAGAAGTGTGATTGGCCCAAGGTCACCCAGCAGCTGCATGTGGAGAAGCGGGGAATCGAACCCAGTTCACCAGATTACGATTCTACCGCTCTTAACCACTACACCGCAGCAGTTGCAGCATGTAGCCTCAAGCGCAGGGATCTTTCGAGGTAGAGTGGGCGGAGGAGCGGTGGTAGAGTCACGTGTATTATGTGCAGAGCTTGGGATGCAAGCACACACCACACAGCCGAGGAGGTAGAGAGAGCTCCGGGCTGCGGGAAAGCATCCGGATCCTTCCCGCCTCCAACGGGTGCTGAAGGCATGCAGGCACCAAGCCCCCACTCCGCCTCACTTACCTCCCCGCTCTCCCCTCCCTGGACTCTCCCCCTGGCGCCCTCCACTGCTTGGCCCCCTGGCTTGCCACGCCACTACGCCCAATGGTAAAGACGTCCCCGAGCAGAGGTCAACAAACTTTTTCAGCAGGGGGCTGGTCCACTGTTTCTCAGACATTGCGGGGGGACGGACTATATTTTTTTGGGGGAAATGAACGAATTCCTATGCCCCACAAATAACCCAGAGATGCATTTGAAATAAAAGCACACATTCTACTCATGTAAAAACACGCTGATTCCCAGACCGTCCGTGTGTCGGATTTAGAAGGTGATTGGTCCAGATCTGGGCCCCAGGCCTTAGTTTGCCTACCCATGCCCTAGAGAGTGGCTGCTGCCAATCCGTGTAGACAATACTGAGCTAGAGGGACCCCAAGGACCTGACTCAACATTAGGCAGCTTCTTATGTTCTGTTGTGCTCCAGCAATTAGGATGACTCAGAGAGTCACCCATCTCACCCCACAGTCCCGCTGGCGACGGCCTGGCCTGAATCCCAAAAGCCACAGCCTGGTCAGTATTCAAAGTACCCCTTGAGCAAAACTGGAAGTCGGACGTCACAGATGCTCTGTCTGAGCGCATTGCTGGGCACTCCTGGGTGCGCGGTCGCTGCTCGGCCGTGGTCACGACCGGAACCAAACTTCCTCCTTTGCACCACCGCAACCCGCTTCCTGTTTCTCTCATTGGCTGGGCTGCATTGTCCTACGTGGGGTTTGACTAGGGCTGGCAGGTCTCTTGATTTACATATGTGGGGATTTGTGAAATTGTGACAAGTCCCCCTCTTTCCCCGGCTGACCCAGTAGGAGAGCAGGAATGGTGACTCAGGTGGGTTTCCAGGCTGGCTCCTGCAGTGGGAAAACCCGATCCCCATGCCCAGCGGATGGGGTGTAATGGAAGGGAGGGTCTGGGGGCACTTGGGGGTCTCCTTTTTGTAGCTGCGTGTTGGAGCTCAGGGAGCGGAATTTGCAGCGAGAGCTGTTTTGTGCATCTGCTGAATAAAGAATTAAAAGGTAAAAGTAAAGGTACCCGTGACCGTTAGGTCCAGTCGCAAATTACTCTGTGGTTGCGTTGCTCATCTCGCTTTACTGGCCAAGGGAGCCTGGCGTACAGCTTCCAGGTCATGTGGCCAGCATGACTAAGCCACTTCTGGTGAACCAGAGCAGCGCACGGAAACGCCGTTTACCTTCCCACTAGAGTGGTACCTATTTATCTACTTGCACTTTTACATGCTTTTGAACTGCTAGGTTGGCAGGAGCAGGGACCGAGCAACGGGAGCTCACCTGTCATGGGGATTCGAACCGCCGACCTTCTGATTGGCAAGCCCAAGAGGCTCAGTGGTTTAGACCACAGCGTCACCCGAGTCCCTGAATAAAGAACAGAGGTCTTTAAAGGAGTCATCCTTTGAGAGCATGACAGAGACATCCTTGGGGTCCCAGAATCTCCTGCTTCCAGCAGGAGGACCCTGAAAGCATAGCACCCTCTCACTCTGGGCCAGTGGCACCCAAAACTTTTTAGCGACTGCAACCCCTTGGTTACATAAACTGGAAATGCAGTGTGGTTGAGGGTATGTTCTTTCACATGTGGTGGACCTGTAAAAGTGTAAAAGAGTATTGGGAAATAATTTAGAGTGAATTGAGATAAATATTTAATAGCACCTTTCCCAAAAAAGCCCCAGAGTCCTTTTCGTTGGGGATAATTCAGATGGAAAATCCCAGGTGTCAAAAAAGGTTATTTATGTATGCCACCATGTTTTGTTAGCCCCCAAATGGAAAACGAGCGAGGTCCCAGCCAAAGAAGAATGGCAACTTAAACTGATGGAATATGAGCAGCTTGCAGACTTAACATACAGAATAAGAGAACAAGAAGAACATTCGTTGAAAGAAGATTGGAAAATGTTTATTGAATATATGGGGGGGGGGAATCGTGTACGTTGGCAGCATTAAGATAAATTCAACAGTGTAAAGAAGTTTTGATGGAAGTAATAACGGAATATTGAATAGTTTAGCTTATATAAAAATATGCAGGAGTTTATGCTATGCGAAATGAACCATGGAAAGAGAAGAAGGGAAGTCATTGATATTTTAAGGCTGTTTCGATGAATACTCTAAATTGTAAAACAGAAAATTTAAATACACATACACACATGGACACACACACAGACTGGACACTCCAAGTGCCCCAATGTTCCAGGGACAGTCCTGGAGTTATGAAAGCCACCCCAGCTTCTGATTTGTACCTGAAATGTCCCTATTCCCCCTCAGGGAGGAAGATGACCTGAC